TGATGCCAGGAGTGTCCCATCACAGCTATAAGCTAGCGATGTCACACTTCGTGTGTGAGCCTTTACTTCCCAATCAATCCTTGACATGCCCAAATCCCACAGAGTAATAGTACCACCATTAGCTTAAAGAGAGAGAGAGTGTGTGTGTGTGAATAGTGTAAAAGAGATAGGAAATCATTATTATTAAACAATAAGTGCATGTTCATACTGGCAGTAGCCACTTGTTTTCCAAAAGGAGAAAAAGCGATAACAGTGATTGGAGACTAAAATTAAAATGGACACATACAAGTACATCCTGATTATATTATGACTGTACTTTACTGCCGGGAAACAAGCGAACACAATTCCCAGTATTAATGTCCCATAGCCTACTGGTGTGGTCCTTAGAACCAGTTGCTATGTAGCTACCATTAGGATGAAAGTGAACCACCTTTGGAATATAAAAGGAAAAAAATATGCAGTTGTACTCTTGCAAGTATGCATATGGAAAAGGATAATAAAAGGTAAAGAATAGTTATTACATCAGTACTATCTTCATGTCCTGCGAATATTCTTAAAGGATAAACTCTATCAGTGTTCCAGAGTCTTGCTGTCCTGTCATAGCTAGCAGTGGTGAAATACCCATCGACCGAGCTGTGAGGAACACAGAGAAATATTTATGACGATATGTAGGTGTACATGTACCTAAAAGAGACGTCCCATACAGGGTAGGAGTGACCTTCGTATATAGCAACAGGAGAATGAGAAGAAGTGTTCCATAGTCTTACTAACAAAGGAAAGATTTTTAATAGCCATTACTCCTAAATTTGAGCTCGGAATCAGCTCAAACTTTCTACATAGCATAAGGACATCAATATGTATCAGAAAATCTAATATAAATTTGGGGTGATTTTGGAGCCATTTTTTGGAAAAAACCATGGGCTATAATAGCCTTGGGTATTTTTCAGAATTTTGATGTTTTCTTAAAATGGCCGTAACTTTAAAAATTGAAGTCAGAATCAGCTCAAAATTTCTACATAGCATAAGGACATCAATATGTATCAGAAAATCTAATAAAAATTTGGGGCGATTTTGGAGCCATTTTTTGGAAAAAAACCATGGGCTATAGCCTGTTGAAAAGGGAACAGAGCCCTCAAAAAATTTATTATGAAAAAGGGTAGAAATAAACATGTAGGTTAAGGAAAGGAATATAAGGAAGAAAACAAAGAACAGGTTAAAGATTGGTTAAGGTAAAGAAAGATACACAAAGTGATAAGGAAAGATAATAATAATAATAGTAATAATAATAATAATAATAATAATATTGATAATAATAATGATAATGATAATAATAATAATAGAATAAAAATTTTAAAAAATGAATAAATCTAAGAAATACCAATGTGGGCATCAGAGGCCGCTCTGTCAAAATCTGAATAGTCAACTACTTTGCCACGATGCCGGGTACCTATAGCCTTGGGTATTTTTCAAAATTTTGACATTTTCTTAAAATGGCCGTAACTTGAAAAATTGAAGTCGGAATTAGCTCAAACTTTCCACACAGCATAAGGACATCAATATGTATCAGAAAATGTAATAAAAATTTGGGGTGATTTTGGAGCCATTTTTCGGAAAAAACCATTGGCTATAGCCTTGGGTCAAAAATTGGCCCGTTTTTAAAAATGGTCATAACTCGAAAATTCTTTGTCGGAATCACCTCAAACTTGCTACACAGCATAAGGACATCAATATGTATCAGAAAATGTAATAAAAATTTGGGATGATTTCGGAGCCATTTTTCGGAAAAAACCATGGGCTATAGCCTTGGGTATTTTGCAAAATTTGGCCGCTTTT